AAATATGTATTAGCATCTATTATGTGACAGACACAAAGCTAGACCTTCAGGTCATACAGAGGAGTGAGAACACTATTATGAGGAGCCTGAAGTGAGAATGAAAAGCAAGTCAACAAGAACAGAAGAATGTTTGAGACTTATAAAACACTTTGTTTTTTTTTTCTGTATTCTTGTAATTTTTCAAAGAAAACACATAATTATAAAGCAATGAACAGGGCTCTGATAGATAATTGCCTCTATGGAAACTCAGAAGAAAAAGAAATCAGTTGTAGGGTCAGGTGTGACCAAGAGTCACGCCTCAAAGGGAGGTATGAATGACCTAGGTCCTCCTGGTGAACAGATAGAGAGAGGCAGGTGAGAGGACATGGAGCCTAGGGAGCACTGCAAAACATGGCACTGGAAGAGAGCAGGGGATGTTGTAGGGAACTTAGTTAAGGGTGGGGGTGGCAGTGGGGGCATAGAAGATGAAGCTGGGGTGATAGAAGCGTCAGCTCATAGGAAACTAGTCCTCCTTGCTAAGGAGTTGTGATTACTATGTCAATAGGATATAGATCACATTTAGAATATAGAAAAATGAATTGAAGAAAAAAACAAAAAACTAGAGACCAGTTTAAGAACCTGGATAAAATGCAATAACAATGGGTTTGAAGATGGAACACCTCTACATCTCAAGCCCTTTCCCTGACTTTCCTCCTTCTACCCACAGGGCCTGAGCTCACTCACTAAGCCCTTTTCACCTTTGATGCTCACCACAGCCCAGGCACTGCCTCCCTCATTCCTAAATATCCCTGTTCTTTCCCTGTGAAGAGCCTTTACCCTTGCTGCTCCTGCCTCCTGCAGGGCTCTCTCCGTAGCTTTGTGCACAAACGATCTTTGTCATCCCTCAGGTCAGCTCTGCAAAGGCCGCTGTTATCTTTACCTTTATAGCACTGTGGGGACACATTTGGGTTTATTTCTTTGCTTGCTTGTTTACTGCCTTCTCCTTGTAGAAAGTAGGCCACTTGGCCACCTCTCTGTTGTTATGACTCTATCAGCTGTGCCTAGGACATGAACTGACATATTCAAGAAACACACTAAGTACACTGGCAGAAGGAAAGAAGGGAGAGGAGGAGGAGATCAAAGGACAGTGCCATGTGGAGATCACAAAGCAGACTTGGATACCATTCCATACAGTCAGGCAAGACTATGGAAAGAGAATAAAGATGTAATTCCGCCTCTGTGATACCTGTTCACATTTCCAGAATCATGGCTTAGAAAAACAATGATGAGTGAAATATTTAGAAAGCTTCCTTACCACAAGAAAGCTACAGAAAGAAAGGGGAAAATGTCTCTTTTGGAGCCTTACATATCACAATCATGACTTTTCAACCATGCTAAAATTTTACAAGGCAAACAAAATCATCATTAGCTGAGGAGCCAAGGGATGTTTATTTTGGCTAGCCTTTTTGTTTGAGGTCAGATCATCACATTTATTGCCTGGTTAGGATCTAAGAAACTCTACCAGCTGGTGCAGTTAATTCTCATAACACCCTACTACTGTCAGCTCCATTTTACAAGTGAGAAAATTGAGCCCCAGAGAGAGAGAGTGACCTTCCGTGTGGCAGGGCTAGTGAGTGGAAGAGCCAGAATTCAGACCAGGATATCTGGTCTCAGAACCACCTCTCCAAAGCACTGAGATGAATCATCCTTGAGTCAAAGTTGTTCTAGAGGAGAGTTGTAGAGCCCACCACACATTTGTTGTAAGCAATATCAACACGAGCTTATTCATCTGCTACAGTACTTGGGCTAGACTAACTGCTTTAGAAAAAAAATCCCCAAATCTCAGTGGCTTCCCCAACAAAGGCTTACTAGTCAGTAGTTGAGTTCTGTTCCGTAGTCATTCAGGGATATCTTCATCTCTGTTCTCCCTGAGCTTTTATAGCTCTTCCTGCATCCTTTGCATCCAGTCTTATAAGCAAGCAGAATAAGAAGACGCCCTCTCCCATCTTGCCTCCCCAAAGTCCAGCACTGAGTCCCATGGCTCCACGGAGCTACAATGGGGCTGATGAGGTTGTCTAGCCCACACAGGATGGTGGGCTTTTTACAAGGCACTTCCTGGGTGCCATTTTTAGGGACACCCTTGGGGAAGTCTAGCAAGAAGGTAAGCTGAAAGACAAGATATTGGTTCTGCATGCCTCTACTAGTTGTTAACTGCTAACTTCTAGCAACAGTCTCCAAGCTTCTGACTAATAAACTAAAGGAATTTAATCAGGTGGCCCATCTCAAGGTTCTGCTAATCCAGAATGTCCATTATAATAAAATAACCTTTTACTATTTTTAATAAATCTAAGCACCTTAATCATTTCTATATTGATGACCTATCTGTACTTTTGTTCAGAATTGTAGCTATAATTGCAACATTGATTCTGAAAGAAAATACTATCTATTTTCTTTCAACAGTAAATATCTATTTATATATCATATATGCATTCTCTAATGGAAAAACAATCCTCAAACTTTTATTGGGGTTAGTTATTTGAGGCAATTGATTAAATTGGGGAAATTATAGATACCTATTTTAATAATGTCTAGAGCTGGGTTTAAGTAATAAATAGAATGTTCTATAAGCAGATTATTTGCCATGATCTGACAGTTTTTGTACAACGAAGTTGTTAACATCTAGTAGAGGACATCTGTGCATGCCATGTTAGCAAGGTGAGAAACATCAGAAAACATATATCCAGAGCAGTAAAATTAATAAGTAAGTACTGGCTGATGTTCCACATTGTGGCCTCATAGAGAGGTTTGGTTTCTGAAGTGTGTGATATTATAACCATTGGGGTTTTGCAAAGCAGCGTGGTTTGATACTGAGGCAAGGTTTGGGCAGGCAAGGTGGAAAAAGGGTGGAATATGGTATGATCAACTCCCAGGAGAGATGGTAGGAGTCAGAGACTGTTTAGTCAATTTCTTACTTTGCAATTAAAAAATGTATATCTATATATTTACACACATGACCATACACGCACACACAGAGAGAGAGAGAGAGAGAGAGAGAGAGAGAGAGAGAGAGAGAGAGAGAGATATTTGAGATTTGAGACCTCATAGGAGGCCGGAGCTAGAAAAAGGACAGTAGACCCATGCCTACAAGTTCTTCCACTCATACCTGGAGAACATCTGAGCTAAGCCATGTGTTACACCCTCTCCACCACTGTCACCCTCTTCCTGCTGTCATTTTCCCCACACAACTGGAATGGCCAGCTCTCTCTGCCTCTCCAGTCTGTTTTCTCACACCTTGGTGATAAGTGATCTTTATGAGACACACATCCATTACAGTCCCTCTCTGCCTCATTCCCAAGGCTCTCATAGCATGCACCAGCCCCTGCCAAGGCTTTCAAGGCCCTTACTTCATGGACCCAGTGTCATCTGACTCTTGCCCTATCACTGTTTCTGTGTTCTGCTAGACTGTCTTTCAGGTTCTTTTCTGGAAAAGTGGTAGATCCAATAACTCATCTAAAAAAAAATAAATAAATAAATAAAAATTCCCAATAAATGTTATTTTTATGTTTCTCTACTTTTGGAGAACTCTTACTAGTCTATTACCAGTTGAAATCATTGTAAATTTAGATACTCTACTGGAAAGGTATCTAAGAGTAGAAAAGAAAACATACCAAGAATATCACTTAGAAATTCTTTAAAAACAAGTTTATGTCTCGTAGCTTTTTGGGCACTCTGGACATATATGCTTTTGTCATTCAGGTTTTAGCTCAGTCACCTCCACCCAGAGGTGACCTCCTCGCCTCCCTGATCAGTCACTCTTTCCTATTATCCACCAGTGAAGCACCATAGGTTTCCTGTTCATAGCACGTCCATAATTCCACTTTTATACCTGCCTACATGGCACCCTGATGAACATTTGCTTCCCATGCTAGACTCTGAGGACTATAAACAAGCTGACTTGTCCCTAGATAGTCAAGTCCAAGCACAGCTTCTAACAAGTAGTAGATACTCATAAATCATTGCCCAATGAAAGAGCAGACGTCTTGATTGTCCTTGCCCTTCATCACTCTCCCTTCACCCTCTTTACACAGTCATGTGCTCTTTCCACTGTACTGCTCTGCTCCCTTACCCCTACTATATAACTTCACTGCAGGACTCACCATATTGTACCTCTTCTGTTTTCTTCTCCTTGCTAGCTTGGGAGGGACTCTGTATTTGAATGCCCAAGGCCAGATATATGGTGGGTGTTCAACAAATATTCCTAACATTGAGTTGTCATCGAGACTTCCAAGACACCAGTTCTGGCTCTCTGATCACACAGAGCTAAAATTCGCACCAAAGGAAGCTCCCCACAGTAGGTCACTGTGTTGCCGTACATGGAGATAATGCTCTTCCCCCAATTCCTCTGGTCTCCATAATTTGTTTCTTCTTTCAACACAAGGCTCCTGTACTCATAGATTAGTGTTGGTCATCTGTTCAACTTGCATTTGCAATTATCCTTGAACCTGAAAACCATGTAGAAATACATGAGTTGTTTGTTAGAAACATTAATTCCTGGACCCACACTAGATCCACTGGATCTCAGCCTCCAGGAGTAAGAACCAGGAATCTGTAACTAATTCCTGAGTGACATTTCCTGGCCAGAAACATTCTGGCTGTCACCTGGAATCCATGGGCAGAGTAGATACAATGAGCACATTGATAACCCATGCCAAGGCAGAGCATTCAATGAAAACATTTGAGTGACAGCCCAATGGTAGGTCTTTGCCCCTTCCTTTGAATTTTGAGCTAGCCACACATTTCCTAGAGTCTGAGCTGTGGCAGAAGAGCCTTCTTGAGGCTCTGGTGGAGACTGGAGCCTCCTACTCCACCCTCTACAACATGGCTGAAGATTTGGAGGTCACAGTGGAACTGGTCTTGGGGACTAAATTGGGTGCATCTTGGCCTTATGAACATTTCTAGAAAGCATTTGCTATAATACAGACACTCTTCTAGAACTTTGCATACATTAATTCATCTCACAGGCAGAAACGGTGGGAAGCTAATGCAAAGTTGAATGCCCTGCACCCTCCTTGGAAAGCTCAGAAGGAGATCAGCTCTTGAGCCAGCCCTGAATACAACCCTGAAGCAGCTCTTGGCTCTTTGTTGTTGGATCCAGCTTCCCTGAAGAATGGCACACCTCTGTACATGCCCACAGGTCACAAAGCCTAGCAGTGAGGCTTGCATCTGCAAATAACCAGTGACTGTCCTGAGACCTCACCTATGAGCACAACAATCCTCCAGACACCAACAGGTATTCCCCAGGTTACCCTCCTCCATCCTGTCTCAGGATACCAGAGTCTAGAATTATAGCTGCAGACTTGCAGGATAGCCACAAGCAGGAAGGCTGTTCATGGAGTCCTTTTCACTTGAATGGGGGCTGGGGAGCGGGGAGTCCTGTGGTTCTTTAAGATTGAGGATGGTGGGGCTAGAGAGATGGCTCAGTGGTTAAGAACATTGGCTGCTCTTGCAGAGGACCCAGGTTTGATTCCCAGCACCCACATGGTGGCTAACAACCATCCATAACTCCAGTTCCAGGAGAATCTGATGCCCTCTTCTGACCTCCATGGGCACTACATGACACAAGTGCACCTACATACATACACAAAATGCATTCATACACAAAATTAAAATAATAAATTGTTTTTAGTGAGGATTGAGCTTGGCAGTGAAGGATGGAGAACAAAAACTCCAGGCTAGAATTAACCCATTGTTATTTGGAGATAACCCATTATTTTATGAATTAAGTTTGTATAGTCGTATTTTATAGTTTACAAAATGCATGAAATACACTGCGCCTTTTTGCTCCTCACAGCATCATTATAAGGGAAGCTCATTAACTTCATCATGTAGCTGAGGTTCAGTACCTTGCCAAGGTCACACAGGTTGACCTGAGGCTTAAACCCAGGTCTTCTGGCTCTAGTGTCACTGTTTCCCTTCATCACCTCTTATACAGACAGGTAGAAGCTTGGTGGAAAAAATAATGAATGAATCTCTCTCTCTCTCTCTCTCTCTCTCTCTCTCTCTCTCTCTCTCTGGCTGGATACTCCAGAGAATATATAGATTAATAAGATTTTGTTTCCAGGGAACTGAAAGTAACTTTCTCCCACTCTCTCTCTCTTCAGACCTACCCCCACAACCACAGCAAAGATTGATTGGCACCTATTGTTTTCTTTACAAGAATAGATGAATTATGTTTCAGTGTCAGTGATACTTGAAAGCCAACAAAAGGGTAGAGTCTCCCAGGGTACACTCTAGGGGCCAACGTGTGGCTTCTTTTGCACACCATCCCTTGAAAGGCCTAACTTTTAATTCATACCACTGAGAAGATACTTGATTGTTTCCTGGAAATGCTAATAATGCAAAGCTCATAAATACTAATGAAATGCTATAGATTAGCGGAGCTCAGCAAGTAACCTGGGGAGCCTAGACAAGAATTCTTAGATTAAAAAATATAAAGAATACTTTTTAATCGAATTTTCCCCAGACTGGGTTCCCAAATGTTAATGAATGCTCTTTGGCTGTGTGGAGAGCTGACTCTAATAAGTACCTTTAGGAATGCAGAAGTGAGTTATTGACTTAGCTTTAGTTGAAGAGAAACCTATTAATTCAAAGGCATTTTAGGTGTCATGGGATGGACACATTTAAGACAAAGGTGAGCGAGGTAGGGGAGCCTGGCACACTGAGATAAACACATAACTCAAATGCATGCTTCTATTTCAGCCAACTAAGCAATCTAAGTTGGAATTTGCTTATTATATTTGCGTTTTATGACATGATCTTTCAATAATAATAACTCCCCTGGAATAGAAAACTCCATCATGTCAAAAACTATAACTTTGTCACTCATTGCTGAATCCACAATGCCCTGCACAAAATGTGGCACATAACAAGCGTCTAATTTCAAGTGTTTGTTAAATGAATAAAGAGCTTTCTCAAAATATTTTCTAGAGCTTTTCAGATCTTGTCATCTTTTCCTAAAGGCCATCTCTGACCACAATGACTGTTAACAAAGCTCCCAAATAAAACCCACCTCTATCTTAGCCACCCTCTACCCTTCTAGCTCATCCCCCAGTCTTCTCTCCCATCTGATCTCCAGGTTCATCGTAAGGAAACCTGTTCTCCCATTTATGTTCCAGATCTTTCTCTGCCTGAGACATCTAAACATCCTTTTCATCCACAGCTCTCTATCAAAGCCCTACTCCTCTTTAAAAGTCTTCCTTAAGTGACTCTACCTTCATGGAAACACCCCTAGTATTCTCCAAGGGCTCAGTATCCTTTCTCTTTCCCTGAGTAACCACAAGAATGGGCCCCCAATGCTCTGCTGCTCCCTGCAAAAAACAGCACCACCTGACCCAGAATAGTTTATCAATAGCTATGATGTTGGTGTCATTTAATGTTCTGTAGCTGGAATGTTGTGCAAAGAGCCCTGGTCCCAGGAAGGCTATGTGTGGGATCCAATAAGGAGAAGGCACCCAAAGTGTTCCCACAACAGAGCAGAAAATTGCTCTATGTGAGCCAAAAATACTGGGTCACACAAGGCTGAGGCAAAAGCAGGGATCATGCCAAAAGGGCAAGGAAAATCTGGAAGGGAGGACGTCTCCTGTGAGACGAGAAGGGGAGGTATGTGGGGTTATAGATCTACCAAGGGTTGCTTTCTTTTCCAGAGATCCTGTAATCTTAATGGAATGTAGGCAGATTCACGTCATGGGGTGACCCCACCCCTCAGAGGGGTTTGAACAAAGACTCCAATGGGATGATAAGGCTTCTTAGAGTGTTTTTCTTTGTTGCATGTTGAATTTAAGTTTGGGCAGCCTTGTGCTTTCTATAAAACCCACACTTGGGCAGGAGTTAGGTTTTATTTGATGTTTCTTTGTGCATTTGGGAAGTGTCTAACAATGGGAAATAAATCTCTTTGCAGACTGCTCTACAATAGACTGGGATAAATGCTTAAGTCAGTCTAGGGAATAGTCAAGGACTGTAATATTCTGCAAATCCTGGGCTGCTCGCCAAAAATGGGTTAATTCCATACAAAGGAATAGGAGGCCCCTGAGCAATTCTTGTGAACAGTTCACTCGCTGAAGATCTGGAGTCAAACTCCCTAGAATGAGTAAGTTCAACACTGCCACTCTCACGTACCTTGTGACTTATGCTTCCATCTCTTTAGATGAAGGATGGAAAAATGACGTACCTACTGCATAAGGCTATATTGAGTCAATGAAAGTGAAATGAGCTAATAGGTATTAACAGTGCCTGGCATAAAAGAATGCTTTAAAAATATAGGCTAAAACCATTATTGTCCCCTTATAGAATTACTTCAGTCCCTATGGCCAAGGTGCCAATCTGTGCAATTGCAAAAATTGTGTAAACAGTACCATTAGGAGTAGGGCCACATGCCGACAGACCAGGCCAGGTAGAGCTCGGATGGGCATATAGGCACTGAGTTTACAGGACATTTATAGAGCGTGTTATTCAAGGAATTAAACCTTAAAAGACAACACTGGGGCACAATGTATAACACAGTACCTGGAGTCGGGCATACCTTTTTGTTCCAGTACAGGGCAACAAAAGTCAGCCTGAACTAATATGGAATTCTGGGCCCAAGCCCCCTGATGCTTCTGTCCATAGCCCCAGCATCATCCCGTTACTCACTAAAAAGACAAAATGCCTCAGTTACTCAGGAGTTTGAGGCTGGATGGTTATAAGTTTGAGCCTTATCTGATTGACAGAGGGAGATCCTGTTGTTTAACAAAGTACCAATTAAGATGCAATATACATAACACTATCATCCTTAGTTCCTCTACTTTCCCAGCATCCTGAGAGAATGCTGGACTCATTATCTGGAAGTCTAGGTGTTTGCTGCAGCTGTGTGGCCTCAGACACAGCTCTTCACCAATTTACACCTCATATTTGTCATATTTGAGTAACAGGGTTGGTCTGAAGTCTCTACCCTGAAAATCAGCGGTTCTTGATATTTCAGTCCAAGGTAGTGTTACACACCAAGAGGTTCCTTAATGTCTGAATTATGTCTGTTTCTAAAGTTATCTTTGGACACAAGAACCTGTGGATTCAGAATCCATCAGAGCCTCTTACACCTGAGAACTGAGCCCTAAGATGTATGTGGAGAAGTGAGGGATAGCAGAGGAAGAGGAACTGTTCTTCAGGAGAACAGGAAAATGGCCCCCAATGTACACTGAGCACAGAATAGGGACCCTGTCCCCATATCCAAGTATCAGTTCCCAATGAGCTGTCGGGCTCCTTTTCTCTGAAAAGAAAAGGAATAGGTAAGGAAAGGGTTTTGAGAATGTTTGCTTAAGAGGTGGAAAACAGGAAGCTAAACAAAGAGAAGGTAGAAAGCAGAGACAATCAGACACAGAAGTACAATGTACAGAGGGGAGAAGACAGGCCCAGAGACAAGGGCATGCATGCATTAAGGACAGCATGGATGTGGCAAGATAAGGACTGATGGCCTCGGCCTGAGAAAGGACATCTCACTTTGTGTTTAAGCTGTATAAGCATTGAGAATGGCAGGCTATGTTCCTAGAAGGTCAGACACAGAGCTACCATGTGGAAAATATGTGTTCATTACCTGGCAGGTGAGTTTCTATCTAGAGAAGATTGAGATTCACCACTGTAGAGGGTGGGAGAGAATTCCTAGCCAGAATATGCACACTGATTCATTTACCCAGCAACTGTTGGTCACTTACTTTGCCAGATCGGATAGAACATCTTGTATCTTAAGTCCAATATCATGTGAGTACAAAGTGCAAATTGGTTAATGTTTATTAACTAAATGCATGCACATACCTTGTTTATTGAGTCTCAGTACAATTTCAATAAACTCACTGCAAATCTTCAACCCCTTCTTTCTAAGTCTAAAGCCTCTGGTTCTATAAAAAATGATGAACAATTCCCACTGTGTTTCCCTTAAATTGTCTATTTTAATGTCTTCAGGAGCTCCTGGTGGCGTGCTCAAACCCAAAGCTGAAAGAGGAGAAAATCCCAAGTGGCCAACACTGTGTTCTCTAGAGTCCAGGACTTACTAGAAAACTGAAAGGATCCTCTGTCGCCACCCCAGCCAAGCACCATGGAGAGAATCAGCTCCTTCTTCAGCTCTATCTGGGAGACCATCTTGATCAAACACCAAGAAGGCCTCTTCAATACTGTCTGCTTAGCTGTCCTCCTGGGGCTGCCCCTATTGGTGGTCCTCACACTCATCTTCATCTGTTGCCATTGCTGCTGCAGTCGGCCAGCCAAGAGCTGCCAACAGTCAGAGCAGAACAAAAGGAAGAAGAAAAAGAAGAAGAAGGATGAAGAAGACCTCTGGATCTCTGCTCAGCCGAAGCTCCTCCAGATGGAGAAGAGGCCGTCACTTCCTGTCTAGCTAGGAAGGAAGCGAGTATCTTCCCACTGGAGCCAACCTTCCTTCCAACCACATGAAGACTCAGGAGAAGGGGTCTTTAAAGTGATACATTCATGCCCACAAGAGTACTCAACCAAGGAACAAATTTTAAACTGAGAGCCCCAATGGAGGGGAGCTTATGGGCATTTCTTACATTGTCTTGGCAGCTATGTGTTCAATAACAGTGCTCTTTGCTGCAGTCCCAAGCCTGCATTACACTGTCTCTGGAATACCCCACTACAAAAGCACAGAGAACACTTACCATGAATCTTAGATGGCTTCCAAGGTTATACACACACCCATCATTTCATGGGACAGTACTCTGTTTATCAAGTGGCCATTTAATATGTACTTTGCTCAAGTCAGTATACTATATATACTTGCAGAAATGTCTTCTAGAAAGACATGGCCAGATTTAGGCACATGTACACAATTATATAGCTATTCAAGGTCCTTATGCACTGTCTACATACCATTCAGATTGGAAATGGGTGCTTTCCTATTCATATACCTACATAGTGTTTTACTGGAAATACATTTGGACATTCCAGGAACCTGGTACACTCCTCACCTCAGTATGTATTGATACAGACATAGCTAGTTCCTGTATGCTTCTGACCCTTTACGTATACCTAAAAGTTTAAAGTATGGATTGGAATTCATTGAAAGCTCTTTACTTGCAATTCATGATAAGGTCCTTATTACCACTGACAGGTGTTTAATGTGGTCCAAGACCTTTCTGGGACATTACCCCGTACCAACAAGCAGGGTGCCCTTTTCCAAGCAGTGATGGAAACCTCTTGTCAGTGACTGCTAGAAAGCTATGGAAACCCACTTATTCTCTTCAGTGGGCTGCAGTTATGTACCTATGCGATGTATGTACAGATGGAAAGAGTAAGGAAATGGTCTACCTGAGCTAGCTAGAAAATCACAAGTACAGTCTCAAAGGAGGCACACACACACACACACACACACACACACACACACACACACACACACACACACACACACGCATGCACGCACCAGAAACAAATTCCTGAGTTTGTAGCAGTGTGTGGGATGTTGCAGGTGGGGTGCAGAAGTAATAGTTTAAATGAAAATAAGATGAAACTATAAAGAAGTTTACTATTATTTATCTTGATGCTCAGGAAAGTATGTTATGCACAGTCGGTACTCGTAACTGTAGATGTTGTTGGATGGATATAAAATGATGTTAAGGATAAGCTTGTAATACCTCACAATTCCTCCAAAGTGACCTTCTCTTCTAAGATACCCCACTAATTGCTGCAGTAGATGAGACAGGTATTGAGACCAGGGTTGAGTTGACATATGTGCCCTGAGGTACCTAAGGACTTGCAAAGAAGATCTGTGAGTGGAGGAGACTTTCCCTCACCAGACTAATGTTCAGAGATAATCCACCTATGTGATGAACTGGTTGGTTTTTTCATTATATTGTGGCTATATGACAAAGATAGAGAACTTAGACTGTACTCTGACCACTCATTTGCAAATCTACTGGGGAGCTCTTGAAATATTTTCCTTTGGAAACACTTCTAGACAGTGGCAAATTACTGTCAAATTAATAACAGCTACATTATGACTTTTCTGTGCTAAAAGAAAAGAACCAAGTTTGATATGACTGTGTGAATGGAAAGGTGTACTCTATTTGCTCTCCCAGCTACCTGGTACTGCTGGTACACCTCCAGCTGCACTCCAGGCCCTTGGACAGTAGGCATCTGGTGGTGACTCTTGCACTTGGGTCTTCTAACAGATGACCTTGTGAATTATAAATTAAGCCTAGCTATATTTTAGAGCAAGTCACATTCACTCTCTCATCCTCCGTAACCCCAAAGTCCGTAGGCACTCAGACCTTTCACCCAAAAGCATCTTTGACCAGAGAAGCACTTCCTGATTCTCTGTCCCTTTGTCACATGAAGAACTTGTTGTGGAACATCTGGCTGTCCTCTTCATGTCACAGAATGGTCAGTCATCTCTCCAGACCACATTCGTCCCTCTACCCAGTGCTGTTACCAGGATGGGGTAACTTTCCCACCTCCAGCTCTCAGTTACTATAAATTGGAAGACTTGGGGGAGATGTGGAGCCAAGAAGCAGAGATGGGAAGTCATTATGACCTTTGGGAGTGGATGACCAGGATCAGGGACCATACAAGTTACATGGTTTCCATGGTAACTGGATGCCAGTTTCAATTGAGACAACAGTCACTTATTATTACCTGCAATGGGAAAGCCTCTGTCTCCAGGCACACTGTCCCTACTGCTTCCTAATCAAATGGATTTGAGCCAGCTCTGGGCATGAAACACTCAGAAAGTCATTTCTCAGTTGTTTTCATACCCTGGCTCCAGGAGACCCAACCCTGGTTGGCTTACCTCTTCCTGTTCCAGCCTCCCTGACAGCCTTTATAGAGTGCCAGGGATTGTGTAGGTCTTGTGATGTGATAGGCCCTCACATTGCTACTGGAAAGTAGGCAGTGCTCCGAGTCCTGCCTTCCTGCTTCATTCTTCCCCGCTCTGTTCTTATTCCGTCTTCTTCCTGCAGCATGCCAGCTCCATCCCTTTATTCTTCTCCACTTTCTCTCCTCTTTCCCCCACCCCTGAGCCTCTGTCCCAAACCTGCCACAGACATGGGACGGGGGCGGTGCAGGGGGTTGTATGGAAGGCTAAGGACCTGCTTTACTCATCTGGGAAGGTTAAGTTAATGGGGGACAGAAAGGCTTCAAAAAGCAGAGTCCTCCTAAACTGGCACAGGCCTGGGGAGGAGGTCCCTCCCCCATGCTGGACTTCTGAGCAGCCATGGCCATCCTCACACACATAGGGGTCTTTCCTCAATGGATTTACTTTTTTTATTTGTTAGGGGGAGGGAAAAGGGAACAGGAAAATGTAGAGAAAAGTCAGTCACTTTTTCAAGAAGAATATATAAATGATCAAAGTTGTATAGTATTTGTCAGTATTTTTCTGTAAAATTCAAACACACGTAGAAGTTTATTTAAATAAATATTTTGAAAATGAAAAGCCTCTACATTGGAATTACTTTCGTGTTATAACATTACTCTTGTTCAGTCATCACTGAGAAATGATCAAAGCAGTGACTCTCCCTGCCTGGTCACTGCCTTCCCAGAACCATAGATCAGAGGACCAATAATGTGGCATCTCTCTCTTCTTTGCAAAACACACAACTTTGGGGGATGAACTGAGAGGTGCCAGCTACAGTAAAACACACTGATGTTCCCTGATGACACTTAGAGAATGCTCCCTTGGTTGAAGTCAACCCGTGTCTTCTTATAGGAAAGAGGGAAAGTAGCAAAGACCTATAACAAACCAACAAACAAAAAACAAAAGCAAATAACAAATAAGAAAACGCAGGACTTCGGGGTTAATCTGATGCTGTGAAACAAAGGATCAAGGACCTCTTTACTAGGTATTAGGAACAGAAGTACATACATATATGTGCATGTATTTGTATAAATGTGTATACCCTTTTGAAAGTCAGCCACACTTTGCATTGATTATGCAATGAAATGATTTATAGACTCCTGACTCCTCTCTTGACGATACTAAGCCTGCCGTTAAAACAGAGGCCACTTAGAGCAGTGCTGGCCAGCAGAAGCAGAATGATAGAAATGCTTTCTGTTTGTAATGTCCAGTGTGGTACCGTGAGCCACATGGGGCTCTTTGAGTTCATTAAAATAAAACAAAGTTAAAAGTCCATAGCTCAAATATTTCAGCCTTATTTCAAGTGCTCAACAGTCACCTGTGGCTAACAGCAGCCACCCTGGACCACATAGGGCTATGATCTTCTGGGAAGAGTGGTCAAATGTTGGTGAAAGGCTTGAATGTTGTTGTTTCAATGAGGGCTTAGGAAGGAAGACCTACAGCACAGGCACACATTTTTGCTCTGTCTCCCACACAGCAGGCTATTTCACAGTTCTAGTTGATTCCTGAGCTCCTTTCCAACTCCACACACCCATAGAAACAGACATCAGGAAACAGCATCTTCATTCAGCCTCCTACTCATTCCTCCAAGACATTACAAAACTTTCCAGTGCAGAGGAGGGCTTGCCCAGACTGTCACACACCTGAAAGGAGCCTCAGCTACTGACCTGCCCTCAGCACCTCCAGCCTAGGCCTGCCCACACTCAGGTGTTAAGAATGGTTTGCATAATACAATCATAGTTCAGACTTCTCTGCTCACTGGAGCATTCTGCTGGCCCCTTGCCCTTTGACCTAGGATTATTCCCAAATTCAAAGCATACAAGATTAAACAAAGAATCCCTTCAACCAGCTTGTGTCTGTCTATGTTTAACTCCATGAGATGTTTTCAAATACTAGTGTGGATGACACCTCAAAGTGATACTTTATCCAGGAATGGCAATGAATTCTCTGATAACCCCCCTTGAGGATATGAATTCAATAAATATTTTGACTTTTTATTATATGCCAAGTCCACTGGATTCCAATAATGTGAATATGTAGGCCAATGAGACAGACCACTGCAATATAATATGCCCACTTGCTTCCTTAGAGGGACACCCCAAGGCTGGCATTTCCCCAGAGAAACAATCTACTCACAGGAGCACTTTAAGAAGACTTTGAAAACACCCCCTGGAAGTTCCTGCTCACTCTCAACTGGGTACCCCTTGTAGTGGAGGGGGCAGGGGAGTAGACAGAGCCCAGGTTTCTGCACTCAGCCCCTTCTAGGCAGTACCTGTGTACCTATTTGTGGATTAGTTTGGGAAAAATACTGACTGAGCAACCACCAAACGTAGGCTGGATGCTGAGCTCGACCCCACTGGCCAACCGTCCAGACAATGTCATATAAAAAGGGGCCAGGGTGTGGTGAAACCCTCCAGAACTTCCGTTTATGAAGAACAGAAAAATGGTGCTTGAACTGTGAGTCTCCTAATAAAACAACACTGCCATCTTCTGGCAAGATTGGATATAGCAAGCTTCTTGCACAGAGCTGCAGGCCCCAACCGTATTGATTGCTATTGAACTGGCTCTTGATCCTCTCCACTGTCCTGGTGAAGGGCTTAAAGTAATGACTTGAAAGTTTTTTTTTTTTTAATAGAGGACCTTTTCTGGTAACTGACTTAAGTTTCCTCAAGAGCTTTTTACCATTTTTAGTTTTCCCTTCAGCTACTGAATTTCTTCCCCTGTGCATGCTTCCGCACCCCACAGCAGCTTCTTTTCCTCCTCTGATCACAACTCTTTGAAACGCTCATTCTCCCTAGCTCCTGCAGAATTTTCTTGCGTGTGTAATCCTTACATCTCTGAGAATTCTAAGTTAGAAAACAGAGTACTTGACCTCACTTAACAGAAGCTGCTGAGGATTAAAACCAGCTCCGGGCTCTGCCATGCACCACCTCCGGGTGGTCGCCTGCCTTTGTAGCCACTCCTCGAATCCTGCTGATTCTACACCTTTCTTCTGTGCCCGCCCCCTTTTCCCCACTCCTGACACAGACCAACAAAATCATTACCTCTTGCCTGAACTGTTATAGTAGCCTAGAATTGCTCTGTGATCCTCCACCTTCTCTCCATACCCTCCCCAGAATGGTCAATGAGCACAGGCTGCCTTTGGCTAGGAGAAATAACTTCCAATGTGCTATATCACCGCTAGGAGGAATAACTTCCAATGTGCTACATCACCGCGGGGTAACTGTGACTGACAAGGCTTAATTGCATATTTCAAAGTAGCTAGTAGACAGAATTTTACATGTTCTCAACACAAAAAAAAATGATAAATGTTTGAGATGATGGATGTGTCAATTACCCTGATCTGATCACTGCACATTGTATACTCATATTGAAATGTCACAGTTTACCTCACAACTATGTGCAATTACTTAGTGTCAATTAAGAATAAAAATAGAGAGGCTGAGGAGATGGCTCAGAGGATAAAGCTCTTACTACTCAAACGAAGGACTGGAGTTTGATCTATAGCACCAGCATAAATGCCTGATGGGTGTGGCAACCTACCTGGAATCCCAGTACTCAGGAGGCAGAGCAAGCTAGCTGGCTATACTAGCCAAATCTATGAGTTCCATATTCAGAGGGAGACACTGCCTCGATAAACAAAATGGAACATGATCAAGGGAAACACCCAGTGTCAACCTCTCCATGCACTTATGCCCCATATGTGTGAACAAGCACACACACACACACACACACACACACACACACACACATTTTTAAGTGATTTTCAAAAACCCCACTATGTTATTTTCTCTATTCTGTCACCAAATTAATATTTCCAAAATACAAACCTGCCCATATCACTCCAAGATTTAAAGCCTCTGAGAGCTCTCTACTGTTCAAATGCTTTCATGTGAGCAGTGGCTCTCACCCCTGGGTCCATGTTTAGAATTCCCTGGGGAGCTTCGAAAAGCTCAGGCACACAGGGCTCACCCGAGACACTGCAGTAGAGTCTCTGGAGGGTCAGTGAGCAAAAGGACACACATCAAAGCTCACGCTGACTCTGATCTGTAGAGTGAACTGAGAGCCACTGTACTACTGCAAGAAAGAATCCCTGCCTGTCCTTCCCAGTGGTTCCTGGGACTTCCTCATCCACTGAGAAGCCACTTTCCTGCCTCAGACACATCCTACTCCCCCAGGAATCCAGTTGCACCTCTAGCTAATACAGTCTGTCTTTCTGGACCTGATGTCATCACTGCAGCCCCCAAAGCCTTCTCTGATACCTTTTATGGAATTAGTCACCACCACCATTATCCCCACATACACACTGCTCACCGTACCCCTTGTAACTCACTTTCCTTAAGCCACCACCATTCAGGTTTGTTTCTACACTGTCGCCACACAATTCTGAGAGCTGCTCAGGGGCAGCTGTTTGTGTTGCTCATTTCTTGCATGTTTCTTGTGCAAAATAGAAAGCGCTCTGGAAATTTTACTAAAGCTTGTGGGACTTCTGTCCTGCCCCCTACTCATGTAGACTCTAGTTTACTTTGCTACTTGAGCTTTGGTTCACTTAAGTTGTTCTAAAGAGCAGGGATGGCTTCCTTTAAACTTCAATACCTTGATGGTTTGTAACCTGGCTCTAAGAAAAATGTTTGAGCCTCTCTGAAAAGCAGATCTATCCGAAAAACACATTCCATAGACCCACATTCCCTACTGGAACCAGGGTTGCTGGGCTGGTCATGTTAAAGTGAGGGGAGGTATGGAGGATGGTTCCAGGCTGGGATGTTTTCCGTTCTATAAACACCCTTTGATAATGAACTTCCCAGACTTCCCTCCCTGCTCATAGAACCTTTGAAGGTCAGCTGAGGATTTCTACATGCCATCCCCTCCAGTCTCCCAGACAAGTTGCTTCAATGGCCATCAGTGGAGAAAACCTGGAGTCAATGAACCTGGGATGTGCACTGTCCCATCAAAACCTTCTCTAGGAGTTGGGGAGATGGCTCAGTGGTTAAGAGCACTTACTGCTCTTGTAAAACACCCAGGTTTGGTTCACAGCACCCCACGGCAGCTAATACTTGTCCTTAACTCCAGTTTCAAGGAATTCAGCGGGCACCAGGTATACATGGTATACCTACATACATGCAAAAAAAATATTCATATACACAAAATAAGAAAAAATAAAATGTTTTTTAAAAAAAAAAAAAAACCTTCTCCAGGGCAAAGGCTGTGGGTGGCTCCCACAACAGAGCTGCTCAAAGAGAGGACCCCAGCCTAGCATCAGCTCCATCGAGTCAGAACAGCGGTGGAGTGGGGGTAGGGGAAGCAACTCATGTCTTTCTTAACAAGCACACTTAAGATGTCCGCTAAAAGTTAAAAGCAGGCACTGAAGAGATGGCTCAGCAGTTAAGAGCACTGGTTGCTCTTGCAGAGGACCTGGATTCAGTTCCCAGTACTCATGTGCAGCTAACAACCATCCATACTCCCAGTTCCAGAGGATCCTCTTCTGACCTCTGTGGGTACTGCATGACACCAGTGCACTTACATACATGCAGGCAATACACCCATACATATAAAATAAAAATAATAAATAAAATATTTTT